GTGAGAATGGGGGGTGGATTGGAGGGAAGGGCTAGGGGGTGGGAGGAGAGAGGACAGGGGAATCGGTGGCTGATACGTGAAATTAAGTTAATTATAAAGGTTCGGGTCACCGCTTGGCTGTGTCCTTGAACATTCTGCCTGCCATATGATCGGATTAAGGGTGTATGCCACCATGCCAGACTTCTGCTAAATGGCTTGCTCTTAGCTCTGATCTCCAGGCAACTTTATTAACATACAAATAAAATCACATTTCAGCACAAATAAAATATCACTATAGGATGCCAGGAGAAGCTCCTGCCGAGGAGCCTGTACCAGAGGCTCTAAAAAGAAGGAAAAGGAAAACCAGAGCATCAGAACCCAAGGACCCAGTGGAACCCAAGAAAACTGCTGAGTCAAAAAAATCTGGCAAGTCCACAAAATCAAAAGAGAAGCAAGAAAAAATCACTGACACCTTTAAAGTGAAAAGAAAAGTGGACCGTTTCAATGGCGTTTCTGAAGCAGAGCTTTTGACCAAGACTCTCCCTGATATTTTGACCTTCAATCTGGACATGGTGATCATCGGCATTAACCCAGGATTAATGGCTGCTTACAAAGGGCATCATTACCCTGGACCTGGAAACCATTTCTGGAAGTGTCTGTTCCTGTCAGGGCTGAGTGAGGTTCAGCTGAATCACACGGATGACCACACCTTACCAGGGAAGTATGGCATTGGATTCACCAACATGGTGGAAAGGACAACACCGGGCAGCAAGGATCTGTCTAGTAAGGAATTCCGGGAAGGAGGGCAAATCCTAGTGCAGAAACTGCAGAAATACCGGCCACGCATAGCGGTGTTTAATGGAAAATGTATTTATGAAATTTTCAGCAAAGAAGTGTTTGGAGTGAAGGTTAAGAACTTGGAATTTGGGCTTCAGCCCCACAAGATCCCAGACACAGACACCCTCTGCTACGTCATGCCGTCTTCCAGCGCCAGATGTGCTCAGTTTCCTCGAGCCCAGGACAAAGTTCATTACTACATTAAGCTGAAGGATTTACGAGATCGGCTGAAAGGCATTGAGTGGAACACAGACGTCCAGGAGGTGCAGTACACGTTTGACCTGCAGCTCGCACAAGAGGATGCAAAGAAGATGGCTGTTAAGGAAGAAAAGTATGATCCCGGCTACGAAGCAGCGTATGGCAGGGCTTATGGTGAAAACCCATGTAATGGTGAACCTCATAACTTTCCTTCAAATGGGCTGACAGCCAACGGTGCCGAGCTGAGAGGAGAAGCAGCCCCTGGTGACGTTCCAAATGGGCAGTGGATGACACAGTCATTTACAGAACAGATCCCGTCTTTTAATAATTGTGGGACCCACGAACAGGAAGAAGGAAGCCATGCTTAATGACGATGCTTCTCAGCTCTGCCTCAATGCTGCAATTTTAATGCAGTTGGCAGAACCTAGAACCTCACTTTCCTAACTGAAGAGTTAGTATTAATAGTACTTTATACCAGTGGTGTAATTATATATGGAGCAGTTACATGGTAGGGTCAACTGTATGAACTTATGTAGTTTGGAAGGAAAAAAATAGGGTGTTTTCTACGTGAGTTTTGTATTTGAATTATGCATCATCTCAGCTTTTTATATACTATATTTTATTTATGAAGAAACTGGTTTTCTTTGGGGAGTTACTTTGATGTAATTTTAAAATGCAACAATCTGAATATTTATAGTTGATTCTTGACTGTGCATACCTATACATGCCATTATCTCTTTTAATGCCTCAGAAGGGCATGCTAGAAAGAATCAAACTAGTAAAAGGCAGATGTGCCGATTTTCATTTAAGAAGCTAACCTACCCTCAGTGGAGTCTGGTTAGTTTTGGAAGCCGGGGGTAAACTCAGAACTTCCTGGTCACACTCTCCAGATGGTGGATATGGCAATTGCTTAGTAATAGAATCAGAGTGTGGCCTGACATGATGGGCCTAAGCCCTGCCTTCGGCCCCCCCCCCCGCTCCTGTGTGCTGGTCCTCTCAGAGACAGAAACTGTTTTGATGAGCTGGTAGGTCCCTGAGAATGCTGTAGACCTTTTAAGTTTGCCAATTGTGTATTTTACTGAATTTCCCCATCAGTGTTTATCACTGTTCTAATTTTATCCTCGACTGGAAAGTAGTAAGAAATGAACTTTCAGGGAGAGCAACAGGATGCTGGAGATGTTTGATAATTCTGGTTAAACTGGCGCTGTGTGTACATGGGATGTACTAAGATAATGCAGAATTTTTCTTGCTAATTAAAACTAATTAGTCAATAATTTAAAAATGATTGTCACTACTGTTTGTTACTATGGACTAAGTGAAAGTCATGAAAAGGTTGGCTGGAATTTGTACCTTTGTGGTTTATAATGCATTTTCCATGGTGCTACAAATAGTCCAGCCCATTAGGGCTGGTGGATATTTTTTGTTTGTTTGTTTGTTTTTCGAGACAGGGTTTCTCTGTGTAGCTTTGCGCCTCTCCTGGGACTCACTTGGTAGTCCAGGCTGGCCTCGAACTCACAGAGATCCACCTGGCTCTGCCTCCCGAGTGCTGGGATTAAA